CTAAGGTCTGGCTAGGTGCATCTAATCCGATCATAGAAAAATATGGAATAAGCATATCTTTTTGAAAAATTCCCATTCTTTTCAAGTACCCATACAACTTCATTGTTAGCCTCCAAAAAAAGATGAATATTAGCCCAACGATGCAACAACTCAGATAATTGGTTAAAAACCACATTGGGGATACGATTATAGTGACAATTAATATTCCATATAACATCACGACCATATATCAATCCAATGTCACTTACATTAGCCATCTCATTTGAACATCTATGAAACAAATCTAGAAATTCGAACTTAAGTACTTTCTCTGTTCCCATTTCTGATGCCAAAACAACACATTGTCACCTCTTCCCATAGTCCACCTAATTTGGCTGAGCATAAAAGTTATCATGGCATTTATTGACTTCCACGCATGAGACTGCCTCATATCACCAGAATTTCCTCTTGCAATAAACTTGTTTAAATGGTTTTTCCCATATTTAGCAATGAGAACATGCTTCCACAATTGATCTTCTTGATCTAAAGATCTCCGCCACCACTTAGAAATTAGAGCTTGGTTCATAAGTTTGATTCTACAAATTTCTAAGCCACTTTCCCATTTTGGTGTGCATACCCTTTCCCAACTTACTAAGGGATACTTCTTTTGGTCTCCATTCGAGTCCCACAAAAAGTTTATCATCATCTGCTCAATTTTTTTGCTAACAGAAGAAGGCATAACCAAAAGGAACATTTGGTATATGGGTAAGCTGGAAATGAAAGATTTAACCAAAGTCAGTCTTCCACCCTAAGAAAGATTTTTAGCCTTCTATAAGTCCAACATAACATTTGCTCTCTTAAGTATCGGATCCCAAACCTCCTAAGGTAACCTAAAATCCGAAATAGGATTCTTAAATAAGTGATAGGGAAATGCTCCACTTCGTAACCCATATTTCTAGCTATCTGATCAACAATTGCTCCATCACAGCCTACCCAATCATTGAGGTTTTCCAAAATTCACTTTAATACCAAGTGTCACTAAACAATATCTCAAAAATCTCCTAATATAAAGTATTTGATTAGCTTGAGCATTACAAAAAATAATCATGTTATCTGCATATTGCAAATGCGAGATGATTGGAGATTCATCTGAAACTTTGAAACCACTGACAAACCATTACCTTCTAACCACATTATTGCCTTCGAACCACATTATTCAACGTCAAACTAAAAGCTTCACCCACAACACAAAAGTGTATAAAAAAAGGAGATAGTGGGTCACCTTGCTTCAAACTTCAAAAAGAAGACATGGCAAAAAATTTAAACATGAAAAAATCAAACTACCGTTGCAATAAAAAATGTATGGTGACAACTTACAAAAAAAAAAATAGAATAAAATAAAATATAGATCTTACATCTTAAACCACTTATAGATAGAATACCTAGAGTCTTACTAGGTAAGAAAGAGGGTCTAGAGGGAGTATAGAAAATATGATGATGTTTTTTTTTTGGTAATTCAATGAAAGGATTTATGATATAAGGATAGTAAAATATGTATGAGACAAGAGATGCAAATATTTTTTACGAATTAAACTTTGCATAAATTTCGTTTCAAGGGGATTCGTAAATTCAATATAACATCCCATTAGGAAAGTATCTAATCGAAAATTAAAAAGAGAGATATAACAATAGGAAATCATCTCAGTTTAATAAACTAAATGGCAAATAGAATCTTTTAAACAATCTGATATGTTTCTCCTAATTATGTCCCATCTAAATTTAAAAAGATTATGGCAAATCGCATGCCTACATTGGCTTAATCTTTATCTTCTAATTTTATATTTTTTTTAAGAAAAGAAAAATACATCTTACTCTAAAGTTCCTTATTTCTAGGGCACTTATATTACATCCTCTCTAAGGATAGGACTGTATCTTATTTTTACAACACATGTCCACCTCTTACTCTAGCTTAATAACTCTAGTTCCTTATTTATAGGGAACTTATCTTACATCCTCTCTAAGGATAGGACTCTTTTTAATTTTCAAGACACATGTCCACCTCTTACTCTAGCTTAATAACTCTAATGTACCTTATTTCTAGGCACTTACCCTACACCCTCTCTAAAAATAGGGCCTTTTTTATTTTATTTTTGGGACATGTATCCACTCCTTAACTCTACCTTAATAATGTAGCATAGATAATGTTAATATAATATAATAGAACCCAGTTTCTACGCGGCTATGCTTGCATATATAGAAATGCAGGTCTATTAGTAAATCTATTTTTGAGATGGATTTTTTGACTTAATTTTTAAGGACATGTATTCTCTAACATGGAGATTATGAATAAAAAAAAATAGATAATTTTTAAAAACTATAAGAATTCTAATAAGAAAACATTTGAAGGGTTAGTTTCTATTGTTTTTAGAAGAAACACCTAAAGATGGATGCTTTTTAATTTTTTGACCGCATATCTGGTCATGCGGTCCAGCCCGCATTATACAATTTTCTTATAATACATTTATATAAACCTACTTTCCCCCGAAATTTACGGGATTTTGGTGGGAGAAGCTGTCTTTCTATGAGAAAACAACCACATAGGTAGCCCTTTGGGCACATATTATACGTTTAATCCCTCATACAATATACTCGTAAAAAGATTTACTATAGAAAATTTTGTTATTTAAATTAAGAAAAAAGTAGATATTATTTATATTTTAAAAAATATAACGATACCATTTATCTTCGGCACACGGTGGTCACAATTAATCTTGACTATTAGATGTGAATTTAGGTGGCTACATTTATTGCATTGACCAAGCTCAAGGTTAAAACAATTTTTTTTTGATCTTTATGATACATCCAAGTTATCAGATTTGACATCGAATGGTTAGAAGTAATTTGTGACCTTATATAAAACCTAAATGTCTCATTGTATACAATCCCTTTATTTTATGAAAAAAGTTCATAAAAAGTTACAACCGTAAAAATATAGAATTACTTATGCACCTCAAAATCCATCGAAAAAGGTTGTTTAAATATTGAAAAACCTCTAAGTGATCATCTCGATATCAAGATGTATAAATATGAAAAAAAAAGCATTTTGAGTCCCAAAAATGGTTCATTTTACAATACATTATCTAGACCATCCATTTTCAAGATTTCAAATGTTTATAGATCTACTTGATTTTAACCATTTTTGGAGTTTAAAATTTTATAATTAGATATGAAAATCGATTTTGAGATAATCTTAATAATTTTTTTCTCCAAATTTATATGTTATGATAAAATTTAGACGTGCACCTTAATTGGATTGTTTAAGGTTGCAACCTTATAGAAACCACACCCTTATTTTATAAAATAGGGAAAATTATATAAATATCCATTTTATTTTTCATTAATATGAAAATACTTAATAGTTTCCGTTATTATATATATATATCCATTTTTTGAACTTCTTAATTTTTTTTTTTTAAAAAAAATGTTTTATCCATTTTTGGTTTTTCAAAAATTAAAATAGACATGATTTTGGTTTTTGAAAAACTGAAATTATAGAGAGAAAAAATTTCAGAAGTTTTATATAGATAAACACAACCTCTTTCATGGAGCTTTAGAGAACAACATCAATGGCTTAGAGAAACACATCTTTCTCTAAACCACGGACTCTTTCATGTAGCTCTCTTTCTCTCTAGGTTTTTGAAAAGGGTGCAGTGGGCATACAATGCATTTGTAGTGGTAGAGATAAGGTGTACCTTCAAATTTTATCAGGTATATAATTTTCACGTAAAATGTCTTTAGAATTATCTCAAAATCTATTTTTCTATCTAATTATAAAATTTTAAATTTAAAAAATGGTTAAAATCAAGTAGATCTATAAACATATGAAAATCTAAAAAATAGACGGAGTAGATAATATGTTGTAAAATGTACGATTTCTGTGATTGAAAATCTTTTTATTTTTCATAATCATAAATCTCGATGTCGAGATGATCAATCAAAGGGTTTTTCAACATTAAAGCTACCTTTTCCAATGGATTTTTGAGGTGCATCCGTAGTTCTACATTATAAGATGGCAACCTCATAAAAAATATTTCCTCTTGAAAAGCATTGTTTTCCTCGCAAACTAGGAATGCCACATCTTTCTCTCTCCCATCATGCGTCCAAAGCTGCATAGCCAAGCTTTGAAAGCACTGAAGCCCTTGATCCACCATACCCACTCGCCCACAAGCCGAGAGCAGGGCTAAGAAGGTTACCGGATCTACCCTCCCAATTTTCATCTCCTCAATCAATAATAGGGCTTCGTGGCATTCACCATGTGTGCATAGCCTGATAACTTCACAGTCCAGGTAACCATGCTCCTCCGATCCATCTCATTGAAGACACTTTCTGAGTCCTCAATCAAGCGACACTTGGCGTACAAGTCGATCAAAGCACTTCCTATTAAAAAAAAGCACATGAACTAAACCCTAGCTTGACCACTGGACGATGGAGTCTGCGACCTAGACCCAAAGAGAGCGCAAGAGCTTATAAAGCTTCAAAATGTGAATTCATTTGGCCTCAACCTCAAAAACAAATAAAATATAAATCCGGTTTTTCAAAAATCAAAATTAAAAAAATTTTGGTTTCAGAAAAACCAAAAGATTAAAATAATTTTGGTTTTTTAAAAATTGAAAATGAGCAATTTATTATGAAGTTGAAAAATCGGATATTTGTGTAATCACAGATAAATTTTAGATATTTTCGTAATAACCGAAAATATTTACGTAATTTTCCCCAAAAAAAAAATATTTGAAATATGGATTTATTATAGATACATAAACCAAGAGGACCACCAGAAAAAAATTCGGACTAAAATCATTTAGCAACCTCCTACCGAACCTATTGAGGTCTATTGTAGCGACGTGTAGGTCCGAACATATAGTCTCCAGACTACACGCAATATGTAGTCTTCGTATTCGTACATACACCGTTTCTATGATTCATGCTCCAGAGAGAGAGTTAGACAGGCCTCCCAGTTCTTGATCTCCAATAGAGAGCTGGTCTCAGAAGAGTGTGCCCTAGAAAAGGTGGTCAACTCTAGAGAGAGAGCTCTTTTGCGCCTTGACTGCTGTAGCCCTAGAGAGCTGCTTCCTGTGAACAAACTAAAGAAAGAGGGGCAAGAAATCAAAGAGTGGACATGGAGATGGAGCTTGAGCCTAGGGTGAAGGCTTTGCCTTATAAAATCAAGGGGATTTCGCGCGAGTCTCCTTCTCAAAAGGCACCAAATGTTCTCGACTTGGACCTTCGAACCCACTGGTCCACTGGTACCAATACCAAGGAGTGGATTGTTCTTGAATTGGAGGTCAGGTTTCCATTTTTTCATAGTCAATTTCAATTTTTTTTGAATTATTGTTGATGACTTAAGGGTTGCTCTAAATAGATGTATAGACTATAGAGTTTCACAGAAATTTTGCTTACTGTTGAAGAGTTGCTGAATATGTACTTTGCCTAAAGAGATGAAACAAATTGAAGAGCTTAACATTTGTATGATTTTAATTCGAGGCCAAGGCTCATCTTTCTTCTTCCCATCATTTAATTTAAGCTACTTTTGGAGCTTGAATATCTCTCTCATTGGTGAACTACAGATCAGAGGAAATACATCTTTAAAGGGAAAAATATTTTCTTCTCAAATAAGTTTTTCTGTGTGTTGTTGTATAAGCTAATTTTGTCGATATGAAGTAAATGGATTGAATGTGGTGATATGGTGATATTTAATTTATGCATCTCTGGTTTTGTTCGCAGGAACCATGTTTATTGTCACACATTCGAATTCATAACAAATCTGTTTTAGAGTGGGAAATTGCAGTTGGGCTGCGTTACAAGGTTGGTTTTGTAGGTTATATTTGTATCAAGACTGAAGAGGTTCAAAGAGCAATAATTCTTCTTCTCCTTCTCCTTTTATCTCCATTATGTTACATGTAGGATAAGACGATATGCTTATTTTGTCTAATGTTGCGTATGCCAAAATAGTGTTTTTCATATTTCATGATATATCTATACTTGAACTTGTGTAAATTGTTGTTTTAATGGAAGGAATGTTAATTGGGCAAAAAATAAGATGAGAATAACTAGGGCATTATTACCTATGCGTGCTTCATATCTGAACATGCAAATGTATTTAAAGCTTGTTTGAATTTCTTCTGGTTGGATGCGGATTTATTGGTCTTGCTCTATTACGTCAGTAATTTTCAGTAGTTTATTTCTTTGAAAGGGTGAATGCACTTGTTTATAGCGTTGCTTTTCTAATTCTCCTATTATGAAATGACTAATGGTGGATCTCAGTGGTTTGGTCAGGTATTATGAAGAGATGAGAAATTAGGATTAGCAACAAACTCTCTAATTGTTGTTAGGTAATCCATATTCTGAACCCAACTGCAAATAATAGAACTTCTAGAAATATTATATGTACTCTGATTCAATCAAATGAAGAGAAAGGATGTTATACCAGCTAGTTGTGGAGAAGGTCCCATGATTACCTGTTTAACCTTTCGAGTGAACAACTGGGCATGCTTTGCCTTGTGCTGCTGGCATTAACTCTATTGATTGAGTTCCTTTTTTTTTTATGATAATCCCTTGTTTGAATAAAATTTGGAATGAATACATTTGAGAGAACTTAGTGGTAGCTCTAATACATGATAAAATGAGGGAAAGTAGACTTTTAGATGATCTGATGTGCAACGACAACCTAGATTATCACCGGTTAGGAGGGATGATTTGTTTCAAGTAGAAGGCTCTAAAAGAGCAAGGAAAGGCTCTAAAGGACATGGATGGACGTAGTTAGAAAAGATATGGTGACTTATGGTTTGATTGGGGGGTATGACACTTTTTAGAGCAGAATGGCAGGACATGATTCATGTAGCCGAACCCATATGGTTGGGATAAGACTCGGATGATGATAATGATGAATGTCGCATGAGCTGTGTGTCTCTTTCTATTTCTTCGGTTTCTTTGGAGAGAGTTTTTGCATATGTCCTTTAGTGGTGGCAAGCAAGCCGAATCAGCCTTGCAGCTTCTTTTATTAGCATGGTGTTGTGCATCTTGTATACGACTTCTTTATATAACACCTGGAAAGCAATATGGAAGAAAATATAGCCTTCCCTTGTGATGAGATATACCTCCTCTTATTTCTTAAATTCTTGAACCTGTACAGAAATGACTACCCTATTGAGGATATAGCTTTATGTGTAGGGGCAGACTTGTGAATTGGCATTTATATTTGCCTTATTTATGTGAAGTTCATATGTAATACCTTATCATTTGCATTTGCATATTTGTAATCTTACATTCTTAATAATACATGTAAAAGAGACATCAAAACCTAAGTGTGTGTTAGACAATCCATTGTTGACTCATCCAGCCTCCTTACTCCAATAGTGCATATCTTCTCTTTTTTTTGCCTTTGAATAATCTTAATGGTACCGGAGCTAAGGTCGGAGATCGATCCATGAGGCTTTTGTTGAAAGGTAACCTCTAACCGTAATTCTGTTTCCTTCCCTTCTTGAATATCAAACCTTGGTTCTATTTTTCCTCTTCTAGACTCTTTCTTCTCAAACCCTAATATCTTTCTCATCATCTCCTAATTCTATTCCCTTTCCTTGATCCTAATATCTCATCTCAATTTTTTTTTTCTATGGATCACCTTCTCTATATCATCTCAATTTCTGTCCCCCTCTTAATCAATATTGTTTCACCTTATTATTCTCTCAAAATCAAATCTGAAACTTCCTTTCTCCTTCATATCTTATTAACCCTATTCCATTGTTTGTTTCTCAAATCAAATTCAAAAATCCTAAATCAGATCTAGTGATTTATTCAGTGTTGTCAGATTTGCTTTGCTTAAGCTGAAAAGGTCGAAGCTTTTAAGTTTTAGGCCTAGATTGAAGCAAAGCGAAGCCTGGTGCAGCTGCTTCGGTTGCTTCGGGCTGAAGCTTATATTTATAAAAGTATTTTTTTCTTTATTTTTTGATTTTTTTCTTTATTTTTATATAATTTATATATATTAAATTAATAAAAAAAGTCCGAAGCACCGCATTGCTTCATTTTTCTCACCAAAGCGAAGAAGACTCCAAAGCAAATTTGACAACATTGAATTTATTTATATTCATCTTGATCTTCCCTTACAATCTTTTTTAATCTTGTCTTTCATCCCTATTATTTCTCACTCAGCTAGATCTAGGTTGGCTTTCAAGTTTTTGTAGACCTATACTATTTTGTTGCTCATTCTTCAGTTGTCATTTGACTCCTTTCTTATGAGTTCATTCTTCTTTTATCAGCAAAGTGGCGGAAATTACATACCACTGGAGCTCCCCACCTGCAAAGAATTGCAATCGAGGTTCTTAGCTAAACTTGTTTTGTTAATAGGGTGTTTGGAATACAGTCCAGTAGATCCAAATGGCAAGGAGAAATTGGTTGGTTGCAGCCATACTTCACAAGCCTGTCTAGGTCCATTACAACTTAAACTTGCTAAAGTGACATTTGGAGACGCAACCTGAATAATCTTATTGATTTGCATCACACCTTTATGGAGGTTCCAACAAAAGAGTGGTTAGTAAAGTGGATGAGCCTATTCTCAATATTGGAAGAGTAAGGCCCAATGATGAGAGAGGAATTGGGATTGAATATGTACAATTGGAGGAGGTGTAGAAATTTAAGAGTAAGGGAAAGATGGAGGAGGAGATGGTGACGGTGATGAGGCTGCTAAAACAGACGATGGTGATAGTAAGGGGCCGCTAAGAGTAAGCACTAGCAGCACAGTGGGAGTGAGAACCATGGTTGGTCTAGCCTTGGGCTATCGAACGTACATGACCATTATGGTTATTCTTGAACCATTACTGAGATAATTGGGATAACTATGATCCGGATGACTGTGATCCTCCCATTATTCATATTTTCTGTAGTTTGAGTCATTTTTAATGTATATATGTAATGTATATGCTCCTATGAACGTGAATATTTCTATGTACTCCAATTGGACCATTAAATTTATGCCAAATAGTAAAGCATGCCAAAAACTGTCTAAACCCTAAGTTATTGCAAGTTTTCTATTTTTTTTGTCATACACAATGTAGTAGGTTTTAGGCCAAAAACTGTCTAAACCATAAGTATATGCAAGTTTTCAAGTTTTTTTTACCATACACAAAGTAGCAGGTCTCAGGTGAGTTGTGGTGAGTTCTAGGCCAACTCACAAAAACCAAAAAACTTAAAAAATATTTAAAACTGCCAAAAATATAAAATATTGGAAAAAACCAATGTAATAGTTAGAAACAAGATTTAAAAGTTTGTCGATCCGGATTGGAATAGCCCGATCTAGATCGGGAATTGTTCACGCCTTCTCGATCCCTCAATGCATCGGGGTCTAGAGGACTCCCCCTTGAACCGGCTAGCTCTCTGACAGAACCGGCTGGTCTTGTTATGAACAGGTTTGACAGAATCGGGTTAAACAGTCAACTTTTTTTTTATTTGGGGAAGTTGAGTAATTCCACCTTTTTTTTTTTGGAAATTGCGTAATTATAAATTTTTTTAAAAAACAAGGGTGGCCAGAGCTTTCAAACACCAAACACATGCCACGTGTCTCAACCTTTTGTGAGCTAAGCAACTTGCATTTGCATGGGTGGCTAATGCTCAGGCTTCTATGCATGGCTAAGGTTTTTATAACGCCTTTGCCTTCATAAGTTCCCCGATGTGGGGCTTTTTTTTCTATAACTCGTGCTAAGTGCAATAGTGTAGCTCGCGCTAAGCTTGCCTTTTTTGAAATAAAATTAAATAAAACGTAGCTTGCACTAAGTGCAAACCACACCCTATAATTGTAGTTATATAATTATAAATATTAATAATACTATTAATATATATGATTCTAAATATCCAGATGATTTCAAATTTAATATAGTTGTCTATATTGGCCCTCTACTATGAAATTTTAATTATGTGAATATGATCATATTAAAATTATGTTAATATTATTATGTTGAATGAATATAATTATGTAAAAATTGTTAACTTAAATTATGTTAATATTATTATGTTGAAATTTTTATTGCTATAAATACATTAATAAATTATTATTGTTATGTGGATTATGTAATTGTCATATTTAGTATAGATTGTAACTTTAAATTAATATATTTATAACTTTACAAATATTGACAAATAACTTATTATTAAGTTGTTATTATAATAATTTTTTATATAACAATAAAAATTTAGTATAATTTTAAATTGTATTAAGTTGTTATATAGAATAATGAAACCGGTTCCCAGTATTTCCATATTTTTTTATACAATAATGAAAAACCATAACGCAATTACCACTAGTTTTTTTTTTAAATTTAAGAAACTATGTTTTTAAGAAATTATAGTGATTTTCTGAAATTTTTTTTAGGTCGAAACTGTTGATCCGGCCGATTCTCCGATCCGGATCGCCGATCCATTGATCCATCATGGTACTTGGGGTGGCCGATTTGGGTCACTGATCCGCTTTTTTAAACCTTGGTTAGAAATATGTTATTAGATGATTTTGATAGTTTTTAAGATGATTTGGGAACTTTCATAGTTTTTCCTTTTTCTGAAATACTCATTAGTGTAAATCAAAATTTTCAATAATCTATATTCTATATGCTTTTTTTCATCTTATTAAGTCTTTTAATGATTTCTATAACCTCTTTTAATTTTTTAATTTTTAACTATTTTTTACAATTTTTACCTTTTTTTTGACTTTTCGACTTTTTGTGGGGTGTGCTCGGTTGAGTCCATTGGGACCCGGCTAATTTACTCGCTTTGGCCAAGGGAGGAATACCTTGAGGCGATCTTTAAAACATTAGTCATACACATGCAATTTCTGCTTTTTCTTCGTCCTCCTAAATATTCACATTTTTTCCCATTTTAGGCAAATTTTTCTTATTTTTGGCGATTTGTAGGACTTTGGCAGACGAGCCGAGCCTCTGCCCAAGTCTGGACCTGATTCCAAGTTTTATAACACCTTAACTTTTCAATGAGTAGCTGAACCTGCATTTTGGAAAGCCATCAAAGGGAAGCATAAAAGAAGTTTGGGTGGAAAGTTGTGTGTGTGTGTGTGTGTGTGAGAGAGAGAGAGAGAGAGAGAGAGAGAGAGAGAGAGAGAGAGAGAGAGAGAGAGAGAGTAGAGTAGTAGTAGTAGTAGTAGTAGTAGTAGTAGTAGTAGTAGTAGTAGTAGTAGTAGTAGTAGTACGTAGTACGTAGTACGTTAGTAGTACGTACGTATACGTACTACGTACGTACGTACGTAC